GCTGGCTGCCCCCAGCACCCTGTGCTGTGGTGCGTGGGGACCCATCTCCCTTAACCTGCCCTCTTCTCTCCCAGCTGCTTGGCAGATTCTTCCTTCATGTTGGGGAAGTACAAGAAGAGCAAGAAGAAGGTGCTGAAGAAGAAGTGGCAGAGCCTAGAGGAGAGGAGCAACGCAGACACCCAGCAGAGGAGAGACGTCACACTCACCAGGTGGGCTCTGCACCATGGCAGACCCCCATCCCCAAGCCACAGTCCAGCACGGCCATGTCTCGGCCTCGCTGGGTTCTCCCCTGGGTGTTGCAACAGCAAACCCTGCTGTCACCCGGTGCCCACCACCACCTGGGCCAGTGCACATGATGGGAGGCACAACTTCCACATGCGCGTGGACAGGAGCGGCCTCACGCGTGCAGCCCCCTTGTCAGCATGTCCCTGCTCACCTCTGCTCCCTGCTTTGTTCCAGATCCAGAACCTATGACCCCTCCTTCTGCAAGGAGACTGAGAAGGATGCAGCCACGGGCAAGCAGGCAGGCTCATCCTCGTCTGTGAGTCTGTGGGAGCGGGCTGGCTCCTCAGGCGGTGACGGGGGTGAGAAAGGGGTCCAAGCTGCCTTGGGAAGGGTGGGCCCCACCTCCAGCCCTGTGCTTCCCTCCACAATGGTTGTCCCAGGGCTGGGTATGCCCTTGGCAGTGACGTCCCCTGGGTGCACGTGTCCCTTTGCCTGGGCTAAGGAGCCAGGGTGGGACACGTCCCAGTTTCATGACAGATGTAGAGATAAAGCGAGGGCTATGGGGAGGCCACTGGTGCCAGGGCTCCGCCTTGGCCCCAAGCGCTGTGTCATCTCCCTGCTCCTGGCCTCCTGCTGATTCTCTCTCTCTCTCCCGCAGCTGAGCAAGCGCGCAGCAAGTTTCCGCAAGGTCTTCAAGGAGGTTGCCGAGAAGGAAGTGTTGCTGGGCTGTGAGTGTCCTGAGCCTGGTCCCCATTCCCCCCCACCCTCCCAGCTCCCCTCTGAGCCTGTCCCTTCTCTCCTGTGCCAGGTTTCTCCTGTGCCTGGCAGAAAGAAGTGCCCTATCATGGCCATCTCTACATCTCCTCCAGCTACGTCTGCTTCCACTCCAGCCTTCTGCTCAAAGACATCAAGGTGAGACCCAGCCAGCTGCTGGCAGGGGAGTGCTTGAGCAGGGAGGTTGGACTAGATGATCTCCAGAGGTCCCTTCTAACCTAAACCATTCTGTGATTCTGTGAGTGGCAGCATGGGGCCAGGTGCCTCTGGCAGGTGCAGGGGTACATGGGCAGGCAGGCAGAGCACATGATGCGAGGGCAGTGAGCAAAGGGGGTGGGGGATAACGGTGGGCAGCATGGGGCCTGCCTGTGGCTTGAGGCTGGTGTGTCGATGTGGCAAACGTGTGGAGTTGGTCCGTGTGCGTGTAAGGCTTTCAGCCCTCCGAGCCTGACACGTGTTTTGCACCTCCTGCTCTGGGGACGTTGCCGCACAACCCCTCATGCTGTTTGATCTCCTCTTGGCCCAGGCACTGGTCCCTGTCCCTTCCATCTCCACCCTCAAGAAGACTAACACAGCACTCCTGGTCCCCAACGCACTCAGCATCCGCACAGCTGAGGGAGAGAAGGTAAGAGCAGGTCAGACCGGTGTGGGGGAAGATGGGGTGAGGAGACAGGGTGAAAGGAAGCAGCAGGACCAGTGTTGGCAGGGAGCAGAGGCAAAGCAGCCAAACCAGCCCTGTGAGTGTTGGGCACCCTTCTGAGCATAACCGGGGTGTCACATCCCTCCAGGCAGAGCAGGGATTGAACCCTGCTCTCCTGCTGCCCAGATGAACTCCCCCAAGGGACAGGCAAGCCCCAGACCAGCAGTTCTGGCACTGTAGGGATGTTGGGGGTTTCCAGGTGGAAGTCTCTTTTCCATGGGATGCCAGCTCCCTATCCCTGCAGCTGGCAGGGCTATACTCAGCGCTCCCTGAGAAAGCAGTGCAAACCGTTTTCCTTCTCCGGCAGTTCCTCTTTGTGTCACTGCACCGGCGGGAGGCCACATACCAGCTCCTGAAGTCGGTTTGCAAACACCTGCAGGTAGGTGCTGCACTGTGAGAGTCTGGACATGTAGGGGCTCCCCCCCCCCCCCCCCCATTACAAGGACTGTGGGGGCTCTCCAGCAGACCCAGTCTCCCCCATCACCCAATCTTCTTTTCTCCTTGCCCAGCATAACAACTGGAATGGCAGTCCTTCGGCCTCTCCCCTCAATGGCAGCACCGAGCAAATCCTTAAGGAAACTCTGGTAAAGATGGGACATTGCTGGCCGTGGGATTTAGGCAGAGGGATGTACAGGCTGACATGGTTCCCCTTGTCACCCTCTACCAGCAGTTCAGGCTCTGTGTCTGGCCCTGCCAGGATGGGTCAGACAGGGCTGGAGGTGACCTAGGATCCCTCTCACCAAGCTGTGTGGGTGCCTGCTGCCCCCAGGGAGCGCTGTCAGGGTAGAGTGGAAATACAGAGTTACAGTGCCCCAGCACAGTGCTGTGCAGGCCCCAGAACCTCAAGGAGCCTTTGGGCTCTGTCCTGGTGCCGCTGACAACTGCAGGGTCATGCAGTGACTTGGGGCTCATGCCTGGCCACAGCAGCTCTGTTGTGTCCCAGCTCCTTTTCTGACAGTTCACTGTGTCATCTCCAGCACCTTTCCCAGCCGAGTACTGGTGGGTCCAACACGTCTCCCTGTGGCTGTGGTGGAGGTGCAGTGGGCAGGGCTGATGCCCAGGGAAGGGGGTTTGGGACCACTTTTTTTTTTTTTTTGTTTAATTTCAGGCCTCAAGCCATTCCAACCTGGAGCAAAGCACTCTAGAGCTCAACAGCCTCCTAGATCAGCCTGGTGAGTGGCAGCTCCAGAGCTGAGCATCCCCTGTATGCTGTTGTTCCTCCCTTGCCCGCTCACTGGGTTTTTGCACATGTGCAGCCTGCATGCTGCCGCTGGAGGTCTGGCACAGCCCCATGTGCGCTGGCACAAGCGTTGAGCCCTCAAGACTGTGTCCTCGTCCTTGTTTCTGTCCTGATCTCAGCTCTCAGCTCTGCTGCCCCTCCCCATCCACACACACACACAGCCCATGGGCCCCTAACCAGCATCTCCCATGGCTCTGGGGAGAGCAGGATCAGCCTGTGGGGGTCCAGTGTGTCCTGCTCGATTCCCCATGACTCCTCCCCAGTTCCCTTCCCAGTCCTGGCGTGCTCAATGAACATCTCCCGGTTTTGTGCAGATGGACCAAGCCTGAAGCCAAGCCTGGCTGAGGAGGCTGATGTGCCTGCTCTGGGCAGAGGTGAGTCGTGGGCCTTCAATAAAGCCACATGCAGCCTCTGGGGTGGATCAGATGGGGCAATGAGGAAGGAAACACTGCCTGGGCTCAGCCATGGTACCTAGGAGCTGTCCCCACTGTCCCCTGATGCAAGGTGCAGGCTAGGTGGCAGAGGGCAGGCTGCAATGGGGAGAGGGGAGAGATAACCAAGGGGGCTGGGGCAGAGGCTTTCACCAGTGCCCCCCCCCCCCCCCCTGCTGCCAGCCCAGCCGGGCTGGCACTGACAGCACCTCATCCTGCTAGGGGGCCCCCACACTGCAGTACCAACCAAGATGACCATGAAGGACTGGCTATCCCAGCCGAGCTCCCTCAACACCATCATCATCATCTACCTGCTGCTGTGAGTCCCTAAGACCTGTTCATACATCTCATAGCTTCACCCTTGCTCCCGCTACCCCGGGCTTCCTGGCACCCTGCACACCACCAAGCCCTAGGTTCCCATTCACCCCACATCCTCACACAGTGAGGCATTGGCAGCCCTGACTCTCCCCCACCCCCCCGTTCCATGGGCATCTGCCCACCACCACCACCACCTCTCTTGCCCACAGTGTCCCAAGGCGGGGAGGGGTACTGGAGCCCTTGCTGCGATGCTGGTGCTGGGCACTGCCCCTAGGCACCATGCCTGAGTTTTCCCAGCCATGCGCGGTTACTGCCTCCTACTTTGTGCCCTGGGCCTGACACTGCCCTGTGCCCTAGCATGGTGGCCCTGCTGATGTCCTCAGGGTACATGGGCCTGCGCATCGTTGAGCTGGAGCAGCAGCTGACATCCATGGGGGCTTGGCCGGACTTCAACGTGCAGCACCAGTGAGTTGCTGGGGGCCAGTGGTGGAGGGGCAGGAGGTGATGCCAGCCCTGCAGGGAGCTAGGAGAGGCCTGAACAGGGACAGACATGCCTGTGCCCTCACTCTGGCTCCCCTCTGCTCCTACAGGTAGAAGACATGAGGCCAGCAGGGATCCTGCTGTCACCTGGGCACTAGAAAACAAGACAAGCACTCCAGGGCCACACAGCACCTTTCCAATGCCTTTTGGGGACAAGCTCAACCACCGCATGCCTTCCACCCCAGGACTCCTCACCAAGAGTCCAGTGGTGCCTCAGCTCCCAGCCCTCCCTCTGCATCCCCAACCCTGGCTCTGAGGCTCCATCTCACAGCCCCAAGCAGCAGCAGGAGAAGCCAGCACAGCTCTGTCCCCACCACCTCTGCAGCAGGAGGAGGGGCAGGTTCCAGGCATGGGCACCTTGCCATCAGACCATGGTGGTCTCCAGCCCACCCTCACTGCAGCTAGCCAGTGGCCCCAGTGGGGACCTGGGCCCAGGAGGCTGTTGGCACGAGGGGGCCTGTTGCAGGGCAGGGGCAAAGTGGCCAAACTGTTTTATTAATAAAAAGACCTGAAACCAGGCATTCAGTGGTGCCTGCCCACTGAGGGCTTGTCCCCTTCCCTGATGACTCAAGGCTGGGAGGTAACGAAGGACTTGTCTTAAGGACTAAGGAAAGTGCACAGAGAAGACTTGTGGTAGTTGGGTGCTTAGTGCTACCAGGGGAAAGCAGGTTGCAGGAGTCCTGTCATGCCTCTACCAGCCAAGCCCTGCACCAAGACCCAAAGGCCCTGCACAGGGTGTGCACACCCCCCCCCGCAAGCCCCCGAGCCCCCCTCAGCAGCTGGAGTCACCGTGTCCGCCCCCATCACTGCTGCTCCATCCTCTGTCCACAAGAACAGCCCAGGGGGAATCCTGTAGGACAGTGTTTACTGGTTGGTGGAGGGCTGGTGGTAGAGATGACTCCAGCTGTGGATGTCCCTGGTAGTGAAAGGGGGTTGGCAGAAGGAGAGGCTGGGGACATAGCCCGAGCTGCCCCCTAGCTCCCTGGGGCTCTGGTTGCGGGTGACAACTGCAAAGCAGAGGGGAAGGGGGTGAGAGCAGGCAGAGCCAGAGGCCTGGTGCCCTGCAGCCACCTGAGTGACCACAGCTCCACCAGCACCCAGCTACTTCCCGAGCTCTTACTGTACTCCTTCCCCCGGATGGGTTTCTCCTGCCACAGGAAGGCTCCCCAGCGGGTGCTGAGTCCCAGGTATTGAGCAGGGACGACAGGGTCCCAGCATGCCACCTCCCGCAGGTGCTGGGCGTAAGCTGTAGGGCAGCAAGCAGAGCCAGCAGGAGAGGGAACACACAGCTTTGTCTCATGAACCCCTCACACCTCATCCTTAAGCTCAACCTCATCCTTAAGCTCAACCTCATCCTTAAGCTCAACCTCATCCTGCCTAGCAGCAAGACCAGCAGCTTCCACTGCTCTAGCTCCAGCTACCGCTGCTGCTCTCCAGGTGGGGAAACTGAGGCAGTAACAGCTCTCTGATCAAATGCTTCTTCCCTCCAGTCTGCTGCCATCTCTCAGTGCTCTCCTGCTCCACCTCCCCCTGGTCCAGGACAGCCTGTCTCTGCCCAGCTCCTTACCTTGGGGCAGGCAGTCCTGCTCCCGCCCAGCATGGGCCTGATACCAGTGCTGGAAGGCCGGGCGAGTGCTGCTGCCAGGCAATGTGTACCACGCGTCTTCCCTCTCACTCCAGCTGCTCAGCCCTGTGGACCAGCTCTGGCCCACAGCCTCCTGGCCCATGGGGGTATACTTCCAGCGCACAGCCTGCTTCAGCACCAGGGCATGACGGGGCCCCCACAGCATCACATACTGGTCACTGCAGGTGGGAAGGAGACATGAAGGCTTCATGCCACAGGTGGCAGCTCCCCAGGGGCTTGAGTGGGGCAGAGGACATGTTTGTCCAGGCCCTGGGGCATTGCATCTCCTCTGCAATGTCTCCAGGGGAAGCAGAATCTTGCCCTGATAGCTGTCAGGGCTGGATAGGGGTATAGGGACCCTAGGGATGGGGGTCTCCATGTCTGGCCCAGGGCTGCTTCATTCCCAGCAGCCAGCTCCAGCAGTGCTTGGACACTTGCACCCCTCCCACCTCCACACTGGCCCTGGTAAAACAAAGGGGCAGCAGGGCTGGACAAGTCCTGACAGCACAGCTGGGGTGAGGGCACACAGTCCCCAGCTCTCCATCCTGCATTGCCTGGGGAGGGGGGCAGGGGTTTCCCCCTGCCCAGGGCCAGCAGTGGGCAAGGTTCTCACCTGCACAGAGGCAGAGGGAAGTCTGTCTCAAGAGTGCTCTGCGGGACATACGGTCTGTGCCACCGCAGCTCCATGCCTGCCTGTGGCCAACCCGCTCAGCCCTGCCCAGGCGCTGCGGCTGCCTCCACAGGTCACTGGGCGCTGGGCTATTGTTGCCAGAACTGGAACTCAGCAACCAGCCCCCAGCAACGGGGCCAGGAGCTGGTAGCACTTGGGGCAGGAGAAGGCCTTGGGGCAGCTGCTCCAGGACAGGGACACCTCCAATCCCTTCCTGCTCCACAAAAGGAAACGGGGAAAGGCCAGGGAGGCCTTGGGCTGCTCCTTCCTCATTTTCTAGCAGCAGGAAAGCAAACATGAGCTGGCAGGTGGGAACTGGGCAGTAGCAATAAACTCTGTGTGAGATCAGGGCTCAGGATACCTTCAGACTCGATGATGGTTTTTGCTGCAGAGACTCGAGGGCCTTTGAGCCCAGGCTCTGGAGCATCTGGAGACTCCTCTGTAGCTCTCAACCCACAGCAGGAAAGCAAAGTGGAGCCACTGTGTTGGGAGCTGCCAAGCATTCACTTGCTGTCCCCTCCCCACATGGCCAAATCCTCACAGATGCAATTTCCAGACAGCAACAGACTTAAATTCACAACTTATTTAATGCCAGTTAAATTGCTTTACATGGAAAAGTTACAACGCTCTCTATATTTTCTCCACCATATGATGCCTTATATATAACAATGCCACGAGGTTGCAGACTTTATCGCATAAACTCTGGGAGGACCCTTTGCTCAACCCACCTGCACAGTTCAGGACTTACAGATCATACACCAAAAAACACAAGCTTACAATAGTTTTGCTCTTTTCCCCACTTAACACACTGCAGCACACTCCAGCCAGCCAACAGCGTCACACCACTTGCCTATATGAGCTGAGACATATGCACACACCCACAAACGCACACTCTTGCGGCAAAATACCTGCCGAGAGCACTACTGGGAACTCCACTCCTGCCTTGGCAGCCGCAAGCAGAGCGGGGGAAGGAGTTTGTGCCATACTGTAACAGCTAAGTCAATCTGATCAGCTTGTTCTCCCCATGCTTTTAGGCAAGCTGCTCAGGCACATACCAGCTATCAGTTGGAAATCACTAGCCCTCCCTGCCAGACATGACAGGAGAGGAAGTCGCAAGCTGACCTGCTCACAAGGCAGCTCCAAAGCAAGAACAATGAGAAATGGAGTTCATGGAAGTGCCCAGCAGAAAACAGCCCAGTGCCAGGAACAGAGCAACAAGGGGGCTGCTCCCCTCAACAACGTCCTCAGGGCCCAGCTGGACACTGGGACACAAGGGAGCACCCAGCTGTGGACACAGCATGGGCCATGCACATCCAGACTGCACTGCCCATCTCCCCAGGCACTTCAGGGGCTCCTCCAAGAAAGGCACCCGTGTCACCTGATCCCATCCAGGACAGGGGTGCAGGAGCCCTGAGGAGGTGCACCTGAGCCCCAGTGGTGCCACCCTCACTGTGGTGCCCTGTGGTTTGGGGCTGGGGCAGGCTCCACAGCCAGCCCCACTGCCTCCTGCCCTGGCAAGTGCCCATGCTCACAGTCAGGACCGCCTGGCTTCCTCCTCCAGCACAACCTCTGCGCTCCCCTGGCTCCAGAATGGGCACAAACCAGCATGAAGCCACCCCATTTTCTGGGATTACCTGTGTCCAACTTCAGAGACCTCCTCTTTGCCCCCACCCTATCTACAGGTTTCTTCCTCAAGGAGAAAGCAGTGTCTCCCAGGAGTTTGCACATCAGGATTTGGGCAGGAGAGCACCCAGAACACAGAAGGAAAGAAATTCACAGCAGCAGCTGCTACCAGCCACCTTCACCCTCTGGTGTAAGCAACCCCCTTCCCCAGGCTCTGCTGCCCCCAAAAGGTGACATTGCAACAGGACAGACACCTGTGACAGGCCAGGACTCCCTGCCACTGGCCTTTCAGTTCAAACCTGCTTCCTAACTTAAGGATCTGACTTAATTAACAACTTCTCAGTGCTTTTCAGTGGTCCTTCCACACTAACAAATTTAACAATGCCAGTGAATGTAACAAGGAACAACAGAGGAATTGGGAGGCCACTAGACAATTTTTAACAAAGCCCCATACTCCTGCAGTAAGTCTTACAATAAAGTAGTTGTGTTGAAATTGTGTTTCAGAAATTACATTGAAATTATGTTTCTAGACTTGTGTTGAAATTATGTTTGAGGCAAATGAGGCTACAATAAGATTATGTGGCTGCCACTTTGGGCTTTTGAGATTCAGTGCTGTCAGTTTGCTAAGGAGCAGTGAACTCCTGGCACAAAAGCACCTCACAAGCACCTCCAAGTATCTGCAATATGTGGAGGTAGTGTCAAGCCACAGAGGAGCCTGATCCAGGCACTGGTGTAAACGGCACACTTGGTCAAGGCTGTAGTGAACAGAGCTGCACTTCACTGCCCTTCTCCATATCAGCCTTCCTATCTCAGAAGCTCACCCTAAGGATACTGGTGGCACTGGGGAGAGGCAGTTACATTCCCACCTCCACCCCTGCAGTCTGGTTTCCAATAAAAGAAAAAAAAAAAGTATTGCCTATACACTCTACAGAGAACCGCTCAAGGTCTATATACAGAGCCAGGAAAATACAGAGAACAGGAAACGGCACTCACATCCAAATGTGCTAGAGAGGGTAAGAGGCAGGCAGAAGAGCCAGGTGCACAGCAGGGAGAGCGTTGGCACATGTACAAAGTAAGACAGGAACAGGCTGCTGCAAGCGTAACAGCTTCTCTTTAAATTAAAAGCAACACATACACACAAGTGCTTTGCATCACATCCCACTGCACTCATCACACAGACTCCAAACACACAGGCAGGCACTCTCTTCCCATACAACTTTAAAAAAAGAAAAAAACAACAGGTCCCTGGCTTCAACTTAGATATAAAAAAGCAACACTTCTTCCTTGCGTAAAAAAACAAAAACCCCCTCACCCAGCCATGGTGTTTCCCCCCTTCCAGCCAGAAGAGGCAATGCTTTCTTGAAAAACAGATCTACAGTAGTTGTTTTGTTTAACTACATCTCAACTGCTTTTGTTCTCAGAAAGACTCCAGAGTAACCAGCCTGCAACAAACGGCACTGTAGGAAGCTCCAAATGCATGGGTGGTTTTTTTTTTGTTTGTTTGTTTTGGTTTTGGGAGTTTTTTTAAGCCATTGTTTTTCTTCTCCGTTAACTAAAAGTTTGGAGATCAGCCTAGAACATGCAGTAGCAATTTTAAAATTCTTTGAATGCGCTTCCTCAAAGGTGGGGCCTCTTTAAGTCTCCTTCAAAGTTTAGAGCCCAAAAATGTATTTGTTTGAAGCCAGCTGTTAAGTGTGCCAACGTTAAACTGTCTTACGGGAATGGCTGTATCTAGCACTGCAGTACCTATTTTATTTGGAAAAAATGCAAAGAAAAATAGGCAGTTCTCCAGTTTCTTCATGTAATGTAGATCCCAGGCTATAAACAATGCCCTTAGATATCAGAGGGGCTAACACCCAGCCTGGAGTCTAGTCCCCTTGCTCCAGTTGCATTGAACAAGTCTAGTCAGCTCCTACCTCCAAAGATGTCCATCCTAGGATAGAGGGACCCAAAGCAGCACATTAAACCCCTTCCCGCAAAGGCAAGGATACTCATCTCTAAGAGGAGACAACACAGCAGTTGGGATGGCCTTGGTCTGGTCTTAATGGTCCATATCATACATGTTTTCTCCAGTATATAGAATAAGGTTGGAGGACGCGGTTTTAACATTCCTCTTGTACCCATTCCCCTCTATGAAGGATAAATTGGTAAACCTTTGGCAAGTCCCTCCCCTCCCCAACCCTATCCCAAATATTGCCCAATGTGGTTCACAAGCACATATTTAATTAGCATCTGTTAGATCCATCCTCCGGCACCACTGACACTCACTCCCCTTCTGGCTGATTGTTTGGGGTTCCATGCACACCAAGTTAGTGGTTTTATCCTGGTACGTCAGACTGTGGTCTCCTGGGTTGTAATACAGAGGGTTTACCGTATCCTGGTGAAGAGGTTTAGAACGGATACAGACTCCTGAAAAGGAAAGACAAAGCAAATACTAAGTCCAGAGCTCCCTCAAAGTGAATCCCAGAGACAGGCACCTCCACAGCATGGCTGCAGTGTTACTCCACTTGCTCCTTTTATTACCAAGCCAATGAGGCATCTCTAGCCCAAGGGACTGCTCTGGGCTCATCATTCAAAGTCCAATACCACAAATGTTCCCATATCTTCTGTTTCCCACTGATAACACGGAGTGTGGCAGGGAGTGTGCCGTTCCCACAGCTTTGTGGGAAACTGTACCCTAGAGCCACCAGAAATCCGACTGGAGACCTAGCAATAAGCATGCCAGCTCCCCACAAGTCACTCCTTAAGATCTCTCTGCCATTCTTCACTGCCTCTGTGAGATACCCAAGAAAGCTCTCAGAGCTTTTGGCACAATCTGCTTTCACTGAAGGCAAGTTTTTAGTGGCACTTCTCAGGATCACTCACATCTCCACCCAAGCTACCATTTTAAGTAGTTATGTAAGGAACTAAAGGATAATTATCTCCAAGGACACAGTCAGTTCATAGCAGAATGCCAGCAGGGAAGATGGTAGGCTCAGAGTGAGCTCACTGCAACACAGCTTCTGGAAAGCTGGCAGCTTTTCATTGCTATGTTTAGCGGCCCTGTAACAGGCAGGAGAATGACGCTCTGTCATATTGCCTTTGGTGCACAGAGGCAACCTTTTATTTCATTTGATGACTGCAAATCCCTTTATATCTCAGCAAGGTTTAACCCTTCACTGCATACATCTTTCCATCCCTGGGACAAATCGAAGAGATCCTCAGAGGCAAGACAGAACAGAGCAAGTTCAGAATAAACCCACCCTCAAAGGCTGAGCCTACTGCAGAACGCAGTTGCAGCCATCCACACGATACATCCTTACCTTTGTTGAGCGAGTTTTACTGAAGACATTCCAGAAACGCAAGGTTTCATCTCCAGCTCCTGTAACTATGGCCTCCCCATCAGGGGACATTGCCTAAGGCCAAGAGAGAACAACCTTTAATGACTATTACATTTTTGGGGGTGAAAACAAATTTTCATTGGAATGTATCAGAGATATATAACTCTTTCCTACTTGGCTGACAGTGAGAAACCAAACAGCTACCTTGGCTTTCATGTGCCTTATTCACAGTCTCAGTAGGTGCCAATTTGAGCACTTACATCTTATTTACGCAGCTATGAAACACATGGGTGGAATTAACATTAAAAGGATTCCTGTGTTAAGAAATCCAAGCCGGTTGTAATTGAGGCCATTCCTCCCTGGATTATAAATATGCGTTAAGACAGGAAGCATGATAGAGCTGGCAAATGCCAGTAACTTTAGTTACTTACATTGGAACCTACTCACAGAGACGATAAATACGCTGATGCTATTTTGTAATGGAATCCCTCAAAGCCCCATGTAACGGTAATAAAACAGGTAAGAAATCAAGGTAGATTAACTGCACCAAACATTTTAAGCCCAAATTGGAGGACTGAAAGTGTCCAATTCTTCCCCTGCTTGCAGTTTCCAATGAAACAGCATAAAAGCCTTAAGGGAATAAGAGAAGATGTTGGTGCTTCCTCAGAAGAGTTTTGGCAGCCTTTGCTATTCATTAATAAAGCCTCACATTTCCATAGCAGCAAATCAAAGTATCCCTTGCAGGCAAGAAAACCAGATACAGAGCTTTCTCATTGCTTTCAGGGCAACATTCATATCTCTACCTAGACAACAAGCAGCTTACAGTGCCACTGGCACTGCACTCTAGGTCTCTTCTCAGCACGCACACACACAGCCACAGACAAATACACAGCTATAAGAGTTTTCATAGAGACATGGCCATCGCTTACCAGATATAAGACTCTGTATGAGTGCCCTGTTAGCTTTGCTACTTGAGTTAACGAGGGATATTTCCAGACGAGGATCTGATTCTGTGAGTATCCATGGGTACTCACCTGAAAGGGGGGGAAGGAAATCAGAATCATGCTTCCTCACACAAAAAAGCTCAGCAGCAGGACTGAACAGGGAGAGGGATGAACTTACTAGCTCATTGGCATGTTTAGACCAGGCCAGGTTACACACTTGCGACCCAGTGTCAATGCACTGCAAAGGCTGTCCAGTGAGTGTGTTCCAGAACCGTATGCAGCGGTCAGCTGTTCCACCACCAGAGGCGAGGAGGCCGTGTTGGTGTGGAGACCACGCAATAGCTTTTACTGCTGCAAGATGTTCTGTATATTGCTGGACAGGACTCAGGCTGGAGTGATTCCAGACAAGGAGCTGGCAGAGAAAAGAGATGTGATCGAACTTGCACTGCAGTCACGTGACTGCAACACCCACAAACCACGATGTCGCAGTAGGATTGATGAGGGTGATTGTGCAACAGGATGATTTCCCACAGCTCTGCCCAAGCACATGCATCTCAGTTAGCTATTTTAGCCCGGCAGCCAATCCCACCCTGCCACTGCACTCAACTGAGGGGCCATTTTACCACTGGGCAACAAGGAAACAAAACAGTCCTTAAGCTAAGCTTATGACGCCAAAGACACTGTCACTGAATATGAACCCAAGACTTTGTCTTTGGGACCGGATTGTTCCGTCAACATTTAGAAATACATTTGAATTTATTAGAAGATATTCTGAGCAGGAAGAATTTGGTACAGCTATGCTGCCACACGCACACTGGGCAAATTCACTACCTAACAACCTTTTCCAAAAGGCTCTGAACACGGCTACTTCATAACAGATGCTTCTTCCATATGGTGTTCAGTGAACTACAAGCCTGAGTTACAGGTATTAAAACTTGTCCAGCTTTAAGCTCAGTTTCCTTCCACATACAGGAATGTTACTACAACAGACCTGACTATATAATACCTAAACAAAGTCAGGAAGTGCAGTTAGGAGTAGGTTTGTTGAAGTCAAAACCTATAGTTTTAATTAGCCAAACACAGAAGCACAATTAAATTTGTCTTTTTGATTTTATTAGGGAGCAAAGAGACTCCATAGAAGTTTAGCAGTATTTATGGTTGAGAACAGTCTAAGGATTGAAACAAAAGCCCCTTCAGAAAGACTGAGTACTCTTGAAGAAAGAGTTTGGCGTTTCTTGGTGAGGATCTGGAGATGTTGAGCCTCACAGGACTAGCAAGAAGTACTATACCTTGTTATCATTTCCTCCAGATGCCAGGAGTTGGTGGTCTGTAGACCATTTGAGCCCACAAACCTCCTGCCTGTGGCCCTGGAGCCGCCGCTCAGACTGTAGGGGTGGGGTTCGGATGTCTCTTTGAAGGATCATTCTGTCCCGACTCCCAGAAGAAAGCTGGTCTGCGTTCCATGCCAAGGCACCTGTGATGCAGGCAGAGCAACAACGTAAGAGTGTATTGCAGGAGTTCTGTAGGAGAGGGTAGGCAGGACAGCCACCACAACTGGAGGAGGATTACAAAAATCACGTGCTTAGGGAACTCCTTTATACCTACTGTCTGAAGTCCTGAAATAGCATACAGAGAAAGATTAAGCAGCACAAATTCATTCAAGGCATCACTAATCCCATTTCACAGTGCACTAAAGCATAGAAATAGAACTCGGAAGGTGTCTCAACTTCCCAAACCTTACTCCAGTGATCAGATCTACAACCCCTCTAAGCAAAAACCAGTCCCTGAAGAGCATGAGAGAACTGGAAATCTCAGCATAAAGCAGCCTGCTTGGAGGGCTGAAACAGGAAGCCAGTACCAGCGAAAAAAAAAAAGATGATGTAACCAAACCTAAAATGCCTCAGTTATTGAGGAAACACCTGCTGCAATCACTCACACACCACCACACACCCAAGATCAGAACACAGTGATTACTACTAGGTGATACTGTTTTAAAGACTGTGCAGAACAAAGCAGGGGATAAATATCAATCATTGTAATTTTTGGATCCTGCTATTTCAAGCAGATCCCTGCTTTACAAAAAAGGAAGGAAGAAAAAACAACAACAACAAAAAACACACAACAATTTTAAAAGAAACAACACACCTGAACCCATCTCCTTACCAACTCTAGCTGTGTGCCCTTCCAGCATGGAGAGCTTTTTTCCTGCAGCTGCATCCCAGATCTGTACAAAGCCCTTGTGAGTGCCAACTGCTACTAAGTTCCCCTAGATGAACAGAAAACCCACAATCAGTAAAGCCGTGAAGTGGAAGTGGACATAAAACAAAAGGCAGAGGATAAAACCCACAAGAATAAAAACATCCAGTATTTTTCCATCTCGCATTTTTTCCCCTGCTGAAGAGAACCAACTAGCCTAACTGTAACGTATTTATTGTGATATTTTATTGTCAAGAGCTGCAGAAGTGAACTGGTTCTTTCCTTTCCATAGGTCTTACCAAAGGCCTAGAGAACCTCAAGCTAAAAGAGGTTGCCCTCCATCCTCTCTCATTTAGCAGGGAGGAAATGAGCTCTGACAGGCAAATACATCCGCTCAACAACATACAGGGAGTTTGGAGGAAGATAGGAAAACAACCCAAGAAGTTACAACTCTTTTTCAAAAGCTATATGGCTACAGTGATAACAACTGAATTTTAAGTCTTTCAGCTCTTGTGGTTGACAATGTTATACTGACCCGTTCTGACCAGCCCACAGATGTTACAGAATCTCCTTCCACAGACAGATCGCACAATCGGGTTACCTTGAAAATAAGACAGAACGAAGTAAGAAACATCTGCTACCACCCTGCTATATTATTAGCTGCCTAACAAACTAAACATCTGGGACAGAGCATTACAAGTGTTGAATCCCTTACCCATTCCCATTTCACTGTGCATTCCCCAGTGAAAGACACTATGGCTGAGAAAACACCTACAACTGGCACTTCACTCTCCAGATGGCAATCATCATTTACCTGGCTAGTACAAGCGCTCCACAGGTAAACACAAGTCCCAAGGCCAACGCTGAGGACATTAAGAGAGGACCAGTCGACCAGGTTCAGGTAGAAGTCATCCTGCAGCTCTGGGGCATCCAGCACTTTGAAAGGAATCTTTGATATTTTCCGAGTCGGTTTTCGAGGTGATCTTAAGAGCTTCTGACTGTTTACAACAACAGATACAAAAACAACTACAGGATTTTACATATCACAGCAGACTGCACAGACTGCTGTAGCCACTCTTTAAAGCATATATGTATTTCTGTAGAAATACACAAAGAGAAAGAGACTGCAAAATTCTTTCCAGCAGATAAAACTGGAAGGAATTAGGTTTACTGAAAGTTGGCCACGAAGTATTAGGTATCTAAGCAGGTTGTGTATCTATAGAAATCCTTAGATAACGTGACTGTCCCTACTGCTCAACTCCCCAGGCTTCCAAAACCAATTCATATTGCTACTTTGGTTGCCTTAGAACCCCTAGAGAACCTCAACCCTCTGTCCCACCTCTTCCCTTCTTGCAGCCTGTGAAGAACCTGTATTACCTTTTGTTGCTGACTGGAGACAAGGAATATGGTGACACCTCATTGCCATCATCTGGACTGGAACGCTTTGTGCTGAGAGAATACTACAGAAAGAAAACTCATCTAATAAGAATCCAAGCATGTCCAAGACCTAGGGTATCACTTGCAGCACAGGTGCTGGTACCCAATGCTTAGCTAAATCTAACACCCGCTGGCAGATTTCCCAACCTTTTCAGATCCTCCCTTTTTCAAGGGCTTCAAAATCGTACCAAAAAAATCTAATCTTAGCTGTTACAAAACCTTGGTTTGGTCACTTACCCAGTTTTAGACTGTCTGAAAAGCTTGGTCCCAACTCAGCTTCCTTGCCAGTAAGTAAAAAGGAAGCGTGCAGCTTGCTGCAGACATTCATGATCTCTTTACAGGCCACCAGGTTTTGTTATAGCAGCTTATGTTAATAAAGTGACAACAATAACTCTTGCACTAGCAGCTTGACAGAACTATATGCTTTTTTTCTTACGACATAAACAAGGCATAGGCAATCTCCTTTGATTTTAATGCAAACTAGCCAGCTTACAGTGAAGAGAGACTTCTTCTCTGGGGTGGATGGCTGCAGCCTCCTGTCCTCTGTCTGTGGGTCCTGAACTTTCTCAATCCCTGCTCCCAAGAGTTCGTTCTTCAGCAAGGCCGAGTAAGCAAGGCCATCTGTGAACCCAAACAAGCATTTATGCAGAGAACTCCAAACAAGCAAGCAGCTCTGCAGGGAGCGACAGTGACATGCCCAACTTCTACATTCACAGGTCCTCTTAATAGGCCTGGGGCTCAAGTGTGGAATTAGATTAGCAGCAAGTTTCTCCTCCTTCCACTCCATCAGGAAAGTATTTCCATGACATAGTAGATCAAGGGATACAAATAGCCTCTTGCTTTCCAGCTGCTCAATCAGCAGCTTATTGAGATGAGCTGGCATTCACTCTCATGATGCATGCATTTATCCCATAAACACTAGCCTGACTTTTTGCACAAGCATAGAAATACCAGTATTCACTTTTGACTTCCAAAATTGGCATCAGTTCGAAATAAAAAAACTGTAGACATGGCACAAGCAGTAGAAAGAGGGTCTAACCTTTGCCATTGTCTGATGTAGCATCCTTTGCTTTTCTGTTTTGACTTGGTGATTTTTCATTTTCCTGAAAGAAAGAAACATGGAATCACCATACAAAAACCTCACAATATACATAAAATACCAAACCAAGAAGCCTGCAAACAGGCTGCCCCTGTGGGCCAGGAGATCTATATTCACAGCTCTTCTGGGGCAGAAGACCCTGATGCAAGAGACAAGCAGAACAATCCTGCCAGCCAAAATGAAATACACTATTTCCTCAATTGCAAGACTTCGAGCTTTAGGAGACAAGAGAAAAACTTACATTTATTCTGTGGAAGTTAATGCTCCAGTTGGCCCCAGCTCTTGAGGGAATAAATCTGTCTCCATGTTTACTAGGAGAAGACATTGGAGAATTGGAAGGCGTCAACGTTCTTCTCATCTCTGCTACCTGAATTAAGGAATAAAAGACATGCAAGAATAACCCATGTCAATCACAGCATGGGTCTGAAAAACATCAAAATGGTTTTATCAAAACTAAACAAGGCCAGAAGAACCAAATACTGGTTTATTCTCTTAACAGAGCTAGTGAGCACACCATAGTTCAATAGTCACAGGAACTTTTGCCAAAAGAACAAATTAAGCAGCTTCTTCCTCGCTACCCCTTCTAAAGCGAGCACTGTCATATCAACTCACAGAAGCCTGGAGTGGGGCAGACTCCTTGCAAGGTAAGCTGCAGGTTCCTTGACTGTGGTCACATTCTTTTTCATAGAATAATTTATGTGGGAAAGAACCTTTTTTCAGAACAGGGCTGATTTCAAAGTGAGACTGAGGGTCACAGCCTCACCCAGCTAAGTTTTCAGTAGCACCAAGGATGGAGACTCCAACAAGCTCCCTGGACCCCTTGTTCCAAGAGGCTATCTCGGTGGCCTCTGCTGGATTTGCTCTATCTTGTCAATCCTTCTTGTACTGGGGAATCCCAAATAAGGCATATTACTCCAGAAGTCGTCCCACGGGGCTGATGAAAATAATTACTTTCCTCAGATTGCTGGCTAACTGTCATGAAAGCAGCCCAATAGACCAATAACCTTCATTGCCACAAGGGCATATTGCTGGCTCATGTCAAAGCTGTCTGCCACTTCTTTTCTACAAAGTTGTTTTATAAGCAGTCAGTGACAACCTGACCTGTTGTGTGGGATGATTCTGTCCCAGGTATAGGATTTTGTGTTTATCTTTGTTGAGCTTCATGAGGTTTCTGTCAGTCCATTTCTCCAGCTCGTCAAGCTTCCTCTGACTGCAGCTCTGCCCTTGAGTGAATTGACCACTTTCCCCCACTAAGGTGTCCCCAGAAACATTCAGAGGATGCATCATGTCCTCGTCCAGATCTCTGGTGAAGATATTAAGCAGTACTGACCTCACAGAAGTGTCACTTGTGATCACCTGCCAGTTAGACTTCAGATTTTTGTTCACTACTCTGAGCCCAGCAGGCCTGCCAGATTTCCACCCATCTTGTAGACCACCTATCTTCAATTTGGCTACAGGGATATCAGGGGGCAAAAGCCTTGCTAAAGACAGCGTCAACAACATCTACTCTCTCCCCTCATCTGTTGAGTTAATCATGCCATCACAGAAGGCTATCAGGGTGGTCAGACACATGATTTGCCCTTGGTAAGTCTGTGCTGACTGTTCCCAAACACCTTTGTGTCCTTCATGCGTTTGTAAATGGTTTCCAGAAGGATTTGCTCCACAACCTTCCTAGGGACTGAGATACATACACGCCACCTTTCCTACTCTTTAGGACTTCCTCTCTGACTACTTTAGTCTCCAGTTTTAAGGCTGTTTTGTTTGTTAGCCTCCAACTTTTTGCGTTCCACATGTACTTACTGAGATTACTTAGTGCTCAACATAAAAAGGCATCAGTACGCTACAAAGCTTCTAAATGTATAAACTCAACTTAATGCATTTTTTGCAACCTAAACTATTTGATCACTCCTAGAACAGCTCAGGAACTCAGACCCAGTCATAGCCCAACAAAAGATTCAGGTTTGCTTAGGAGAGGTATCATACCTTTGAAAAGCTCAAGTTAAAATATTCAAATGCAAGACAGACATCAACTTAATAGTCAGACCAAGATCACAGCACATTTGTACTTACGCAAGGCATTGTGTTTTCATTTTGTATGTTGATTTGGCGTAGGAGACGTCTCTCATAATCCTGGTCCATGGTGGAAAGGATAGGGGTTGGGGAGTTCAGCAGTCCCAGGAATTTATCTTCATGAAGTCTAAACAGTAATTAGTCTGCTGCAACAGTTAGAGGAAGAAAGTTACTAAAATGTCACACCTTCTCATATAGAAAATAAATGCTAAAGAGGCTGGCTTCTACAGCTGGAGAGAGAGGTTTAAGGTGCTTTTCAGATGATTAATGAATTAAACCATATCAGAAAAGCAGAACTGTGGCACATGTTTTACCTTCAAGCTGTTTAGCCTCTCTGTCCACTTCACAAGTAGCTCACATGCACAAACAAGTGGTAGAATCTGAAAACTGAAGTCTAAGTCCACTCATTGAACTTGAGACCACCTTCCTTCAAGAGCACCGTTATCAAACGTCTGTGACAAAACATAGCACGAGGCTGCTGATGAGAGTGTTTTTCTGCATTATCGCCCTTGGTTGCCAATTCACATGCACAGGTAATTAGCATTGTGTGTCTGATAGGACCTAAGTGTATGAGAACCACAACTGAAGCAGAGTACAGCCTCATACTCGAAATGAGCCCATTCACGTAAACTGCAGCAGCATAGTTTAACAAGTGTTAGGTATGCAGGTACATTTAAACAAAAAAAAAAAAAATCACAGAGGACATCTACAACCTATACCACTACAGCAAGGTTTACACCTCAGGCAAGAGGAACAACAGCAACACATATGCCTATGCTGAAGCTAGTTTGGATACTCATAGCCATGCCACTGCAGAAGCATGGGCAGCTCTACACTAGGTAGCCCACTGGGTAAACACCTGAAGTCCATGCTGCCCCAACTACTCTGACTGGCTAGTGCAGAGCTAGCTCAGTTGTGGCTGTGCAGACTATAGACAATGCTAAACTATGCTGCAGTCCACCTTACAAAGCATCTTTCAAGCATACATTTTAGGATAAGCCTGCTTCATAGTCTACATTTGGTTGGCTAAATTAAAATACATATTAGCTAATAATTCCAAGAGGATATGTAGTCACAGTCGTTCTCCGAGCTCTTAAGGTAAGAGACCAGCACTATTAGCACCCAGCCTCTTCTAACCTACATATACCTCCCTCCCTCCAGACAAAGGATAAGAACTGACAAATAGAATGGACAGAAAAACCTCATCCATCTAAGCACCGTGACTATGTTCAACCTGAAAATTTGGGAGAGGATAGCAGAGGGTGCACTGCAAGCCTTGCCAGCTCACGTCAACACAAAAATGCCAATACCAGAACAGACATGCCAGGTTTGTCTCTCAACCCAAGATAAACATCTCCAAAGGAAAAGGTGGAATCTAACATGCACTCCACACCAAAAAACCACAATACACAGGCATATGGAAGTTCTGCAGAACACAGCATGATCTTCATTCACTGCTATTGTGTAAACATTTACTGCATTTGGCTAGAGTCCCAGCTACACAAATAGAGTTGCCTCAAGATACAAACTTGTGGCAAAATCTGGGAGGCAACTGCACACCAACAGCTGTTTTGGGAGAAAGTCATATAGGGACAGGCTACACACTGCCACATACAGGGCCCACAGCGGAACTGCCTGCAACTACCCTCTGCCGCTGTGAAAGGGTTCGCCTCTAAGAGCAGAAAACCTGCCCAAGGTTTGGCCTTAAAAACTGGAGGTATATTGATGGATTAGAGAGGTTGTAGCCGCGCATGCTGTAAGCCAGAGAGATGCAAGTACGTACTGCAATATTTTACAAAATTAGATTGAAAGCAACATGATAAAGTACATGAACTCTGGACTAGTCATCTATTAGCTAGCATAGCTACTTTCTTTTTATCAAAGCTGTTTGTTGGTACTGGAACTTGAATTTCCAAGAACTACTGAAACTTTAGGGTCTTTTGTTTTCTTGTCATTAAAATGCGCTAACACTTTTACAGGAGCATTCCTGAAATAGGTAATGCCAAGCTGCTTCTGAGTACACCTGCTTACCTCTGTCACCCTCCTCCCTCAACTTATTATTTTTAATTTAAGAGATTTCTCCAGTATGTTCTTTAGGAGGCAAAATTGGAGAAAGCTACTAAATTTGACTGTAATCAGTTTCTACCGAGTAAAATGAGAAGTCAGAGATAGGGCATTATTAAGTGAAAGGGTAGAAAAGTCTTTGATGTTATTAACAAAGAAGGTTAAAATTTTTAATGCACCCAACAATAAACACTATTCCTCACTTTTTAGTTTAGTTAATACTATCCTTACTCACTCATCTTCGAAGTCTGCCTTTGAGGCAAGGGGGATCTCTTAACCAAGAATCTCAACAAAACGCATTTATACACCATGGATAAGAAGGAGATCAGTTTGCAGAACGTGCACTAGGAGCATAATCAAATAGATGATGCCAAACATTTAAAGGGTTCTCCTAAAATGACTCAACATCATATTTGTGAAAGATCTAGATGTAGTAACTTAGCAAAGTAAGGTTTTCGTTTTGGATATCAAACATTCATTGGCTTTCTGAACTGTACAAACTAATATGTAAGAGCTCTATAAAAGTTATTCTAATCAGAAATATAGCATACGCAGAGTAAACAATGGGAGAAGAGAGACTGCAAAGGCAGAATGTGAAAATAATACTAATAAGCCCAAGACAACCTTTTTCAGACTAAGTGCTTCAAAATAAAGCATTCACATAAAATTAACTGTATTTCAATTACACCAAGACTTCCTCCACTCCCTTCAGCTCCATTTAAATTTAGAAATATATTGAACTGGTAGGTTTAAAAGTTCTCCTGCCTTTGGTAATCCTGTAATTCTGGTAATCTCACTTTCAGCAGCATCCCTTACGTTTAAGGCCTACACACTCAATTACCTTCCATTTTTAAGAACAGCTCAAACAATTTCTATATCAAAAAGATGGTCAAGGATTGTCCAATTCTTGCCCTGCTCAGATAGGCCATGTCAAAAACAAAACAAAAGAATTCAGTTATAACAGAACCAACGACAAAGCCTACATTTGAGACCACAACTTCAACTCCTGCTAAAGAGTCCAAGTAGGTAGAGGCTGCCTCTCAAAGAAGAAACAATTTTGCCAAATAACTGCATTCATTTCCCTGCCAACTGCCTGGCATTCTACACGCTGGTTTATTAAAAACAGATCCATACTGAGAAAACACATTTATGTATTTGAATATGTTAAAGTGAGGTCAATAAAAAGAACAAAACACACTTTTGTTCAGCACCACCACTCTGCGTAGAATTACTGTTCTGAAAGAAATGCTAGTTACGATAAAATCCAGCCAACTCAGAGATAAGACTTAAGGTGCCTTAAGAAAACACTAAAATACTCACAACACACAAGTTCTTCCCCAGGAGTAGAAAACCCTTTCCCCTCCAAGCATAAACTAGCTGGTTAATTAGTAACAAAATATCTATAAAAGAAGAATTCATAACAGACTTGGTTCCTCAAGATCTTTTGTTTCTTCAAGAAGATAACTTACAGTTCTTGAAGTAAAGCCTTTTTTTCTGCTGACTTTCATGGAAATTGAAAACCCAACCACTTTCACATATGAATTTTGAGATAGCAAGAGCCTACCCAAAACCAGAGAGGCTACCTTCTCTTTGGACTGATATTTAATGGCACCCCAGTGCCAATTTCGAGAGAAAACACTATTCAGGTGCATCTAAAAGCTCTCAGAATGAGCCCCATTATTTATCAAGGGGAAGAAGATGGAGAATGAGTAAATCACTTAGCCTTTAAGTCATGAGCATCATGGTTTGAAATCATCCCCACATGTCCTGCTTCCCAAAAGCCAATGTTCTAGTCTTCCAGTGATCTATCCCAGCTAAGCAGTCCTGCACTTTCTCTGTGCTAGCTCTGGCTCTTGTTTGATTCCCCCCCCCGCCCCCCCCAAGTTCACCTGGCTCACTACGATGACAGAAAATTAACTCAACCCAAAAGGGCAAAATTTCCTGCTGCTTTAGTAAGCTGGATCAACTCACTGAGGGATCCGATGAGAGCCAAAGCTGGCACTAGGGAAGCAGAAAGAACATGTAGCCAGAAATGGCCCTTTCTGGCAGGAGCAAGCTGTTGAATCAGTTAGCTCATGCTGCCTCACCCTGGAGTATTAAAGAATATTTCCAGTTATTATGAATTCTCTTATTTTCCAGACTTTTGAACAAGCTGTAAGAAAAACAACAATGCTAAAATATAGCCCAAGTCAAGCCTACTACAAACATATACAGAATGCTAAAGCCAGCTACAGAGTGCTAACACCAACATCTAGAAGGAGCAAGACACTCTGCTCTTAGCCAATCTGAAGTAGAGCTACTCCAAATTTAATCAACAGTTACAAAGTTTACCTGTTATGCCAAACAGTCTATTAAGTAACTAATCTCCTTTTAAAAGGAGAAGTAGGGCAAAAAGCTAGAGCTTTGTGCAAGTTTTACCAATGTTTACCTTTTTAAAATAATTACGCAATCTCTTATCCAATGATTTACAAAGGTATTAGTGTAAAAAACAAACCATTTACAAATGTAAACCTTGTATGAGAGAAGCAGATTAAGCTTTATTTCAAAATAAAATATAAGCTTCATCGCCTCACACTTAAAGACAATACTTCACAACTGGGCATTACACAGAAGCCATGCTAATAGCAATGAAAAAGTTACTTCTGTATCATGGTGACAAGCAAGATCTCCATCCTTATTTTGTTATTAAGACACTCTTGAAGGCTGCAGAGATTCAGTATTCCACCAGTAAACTGAGACCTTCCATTACTGCTAGAACTATCACATTGCATCAGTGTGTTCATCAGCATTATGCATCAGCATAATGTTTAGGTGACTACTCTTTACTTGAAGGTCCTGTGAGGGCCTATATTATTTCTGCCTTTTCCAACGCCTATACAAGTCAGAGCATCCAGGGAACAACTTCCTCCTACACAGGGGGCTAACAGACCCCCTATGTACTCACTATCATCAACTCTAGAACAGCCAAATTCCTCACACACACACCCCCAAAAAAAGCCAACTTTTAGATGACCAAAAGTAGGCTCAGCCTGAATCCAAGTTCGATCTGAAAGGCAAAGTGACTCAAAGGACTGGCCAAGATATTGCTTTCTCTCCTGCCTCCACTCCCGATTCTTAACAGTAGTACAGAAACTCAAGATGCTGCAACTCTATACTAAGCTTAGAAGATGGGCGATATCTGCAGCTATTCATGCCTTCTTTTGTCTCTTGCGTCAAGAAAAACAACATCCCTTCCTCACAGGCAAGAGCTCAATCTGTAATTCAGACTGGAGGTGACAGATCTTTGACTTTAACTCACTGCATCTACACCTACACTTGCAGACAAGCTACAAGACTTTCTACAACCTTCCAGTCAGCTTCTGAAACTATTTTAGGGCTTTGCAAAACACTTTCACTTTTCAAAGCAACAAATAGCAAAAGTTCTAGCTAGATGACAGAGGAACCCTGACCAACAAACCACAGTGCAACTGTGCTAGTTTAGGACAACTGAGGTCACAGAACCCTGCAGAAAGCCTGAAAGAACCAGTGATGAAGTATTCACAGCAAAGAGCTCTGGACATAGCATGAATATTTACGTGCCAGCAGAAATTCAGCGTTAGAACACCTTAAGGAAACCCAGCACAAAACCTCCATCACCGGAAGAGCTTTTACTAAAAATAACAATCTCCCTCCGTTAATATACCTTCTTAATATACCATTACACACCCAAAAGATTTTGAACAATTCGGGAACAACAATTAAGAAAAAAAGTCTTCCTTAACTGTGGGACCTCTTCTGAGAGGAAGATTTCAGGAAGTCTACTAACAATATTGCTATTGCTACTCTTTCCACATGGATGACACTCAGATATCATCATCACTTCCAGGACAGAAGTTTTTTCCTAAATCCCCCTTCTCCCCAGGGAGAAGGAAAGAAGGGAGGCTAACAGAGTAAAGTCTGCCATGCCATACTCAAAAGACAAGTACATTTTCAACTCCTCTACTCATGATTCAGGTTCAAGTGTAAAGCTCAATTCCCCCCCCCCCCCCAAACTCACACACTGTTGAATATATGTGGCAGCCCAGCCTCTGGCTGGGAGATTTCCAACTTTGCTTCAAGCAGCTTTTAATAAATTAGAAAAATTGTATGTTTGTTACTCTATCTTCACACATCACCTTTTCATTCAACACACATCTCAATGCAGTTTACAACAGTCTATTAGGAGCTAGGGCTTATCTAAGCAGACAGGACATGACAATCAGGTACTCAGCAGGTGATCTCTCAAAAGCATTACCATTAAACCCTTTTTATTGCCTACATGTAGTGATTATTTCTTTTTTTCTCCTTTTTCTTGTCTCCCTCCATAAATCAGAGAGCCATGCCTGTTCCTAGGGAAATCCAAATAAAGAACAAAGTCTTCAGCAGTGCAGGAAGCCATATGCTGGGAAATACATCCAGCATTAAAACATAATGCATGCTCAATGTGGGGTCACTTCTGTGTCATCTCTTGCCTGTGGGTCAAAAGGCAATCTCTGCACCTAATTAACAGAAAGCCTCATGACAGGTTCATATATTATGAAGACAAAACAAATAACGCAGGCAGCATATAAAAAAACACTCTGCAGTTTTAGAGATGCATTATTTAACTAACGTACCTTGACTAAACAACGTCTGAATAACTCTTCTGTTTTGGTTGTTGCATAGGCTTGATTAAAGTTCTGAAGAATGAATTAAAAATCTAGTTCAACTCTGGCAGATCATGCTCTAGAAATACTGAGTACCAAACAGGTTGTTACTTCCATCTGCTCCGTTGCTCCTGCTGATGTTAACGAAACAAGCTACTGCTGCCTGAGCTTTTGCACGAGGCAAAGCAGGTAGGAAATGCTATTGTCTTCTGCAGGTGGTAAAGGACATTCCCAAATGTCAGGTAAGGAACTAGGTATGATTTCCTCAAGTTATTACATGACATACAGGGGATAAAAGTTAATCTTGCAATGTTCTGTTTTGACATTTCACCTTAGTCCACGTTGTGAGGAACACCAAACTGGTAAGACTGGATGCTGCTACCCTATTTGCCCCACAAGACACAGGGCGCGACGAAAAAACCGCACAGCTTTCTACATAGTAGCCCACCACCGTATCTTTACTCAGATATAAAAGCTGAGCTACTGGCAATCTCTGTCTAGTCTTTAGCCTCTGCCAAGACAGTTGGCAGAGGAAGCAGAGGGCCGAATATGCCAACAGTAATTCTATTTAGATTGTCACCTAATGGCAATTTTCCCCACATAAACACACATTTTTGAAAAGCCACTGGACAGACAATAGAAATAAAGAGATTTACTTCTGGCTGGGCATCTACAACCATATCACAGTGTTTGTTTTGATGACTACCTAGAAGATACATAATATATTTTGCATTTACTGTACATACCACAAGCCTCTTAATGAAAAGGAAATGGGGATGCATGGAGTGCAGCACCTAAGCTTTAGGGATATGGTGTCTTAATAAGGATAGAGTTTTTCCCATGTTAAGTGTTTTAGGCTCAAACAGGACTTGCTTAACAGTAAAGAAAAGCATGAGAGAAAGTCTACTGCATGTATTTATAGCATTTTACAAAATCATTACAGCTTTTTTACTTCTAGTAGATTATATGCTCTGCCATACTGTGCATCATGCTTCGAGAGGGATAGAGGAAAACCAAGAGTGCCTTTTGAGCACAAACATGAGATATCCCTTCTTCAAAGCACTGTATTTCCCAAATAGCACTTCCACAACTTTTACCTGCCCACAGATTGCTGAGCTCTAAAACAATACAAAGTCTATTTTTCATACAGCTACTAACATAAATTTCATTACATTGTTTCCTTTTACAGAGATACAAGAACCTGCAAAATACAGTTGTCTGATTATCTTTTCTAATGTCTCAAAACAAGATACGAACAGTTGCTAAGAGCATCAGTTCTAGATAAAAGGTCTGCTTTATTGCAAGCCTTATCAGAAGTCAGTACACCACAATCAAGATTAAAAATTCACCAGCAGCTTTGTTTATGGAGCTTTACTGAAAAAGCCAGGCTATTCAAAAGGTCTGTATTTTATCATAAGGTTTAAGTTACTGAAGATGCAAATGTATCCCTGCTCAAAAAAAAAAAAAAAAAAAAAGTCAAAGAAAATGCAGCAGCCTCAGTCAGGAAAACTCTGTTTATGTATTAAAATAATAATAATAATACAAAAAAACCCTCCAATCTTTAATATGAGATACTCTTACCAGCAGGTGAGTTGCTCTCAGTGAGGAACCTTAGGCACAAAACACTAGGCTAGCATCATTAAATACACTAACTCAATAAAACTCAGCACTTCCCAAGCAAATGAGCACAACGCCTTCAGGAGAGCAACAAATCAGGTAAAACTCATCCAAGCAACAAAGCCAAAGACTTCTTTGATAGATGACTTCAGTACGATCTGATAGATTTCATTTAGCTTTAATGACTACCGCAAAAAGATGCTCGTTTTGTCTCACCATGCACGGACAGATGCTCAGTTCATGTTTTCAAGACCTAAAGGCTGTAACTCACTGAACATGCATACTATTTTCTATTTGCAAGGCATTAGCAACGCATTAAAAGCCTAATGAAAGTCACAAATCCGTATTCAGTTCCCTCAGACCACTGAGGAGCCATCAGAACAATTGCATATCACTAGCTTACATTGTATATAAACAAGCAACACATGGTAAAAGTTTGTGGTGAGTTGCCACAGTTATCTAGTTCTCTAGAGAACTAGAGTCCACAACACAAGAATCTCTGTCATGGCTACTGCTCCTGCTATCAATTTGATCAAGAACTGTAGTACCGTGGAAGAGGCGGGGCCCCCCCCCCCCCCAAGCTCTGAATAAGTCTTTCAAACCTGACTGAATAAAGGGTCTACTCGGAGACCTCCTAGCAGCTTTGGACAGAGCCACACAACCGTCTACGGGCTCAGGCGCACAAAGTCCTTTAACAGATACGTCCAGGCTCTCGCAAGGGAGCATGAGGGCTCACCCACTTCCCAGGGCCGCGGCTGGCAGGGGTCGGCCGGAGCCCTGCACGCAGTGCTCTACGCGAAGCGGCCTTATTACAGAAATCAACACAGCGCGATGACTTGTGAGTTGCCTCAGAGAGATTAAGTTTCAGCCTGTCAGGCCCGACAAAGCACTATTAAAAAAGCGCAACAGAACAGAAGCAGGGGGAGGAAGGCAGCGCTCAGGAGCGCAGTCACGCCGGGCGCTGAAGCGCGCTCGCTGCTCCAGAGCGGCCGCAGCTCGGGCACGGGGCAGG